AATCCATCTACCTACTCCTCTTCTCATTCAACTCAGCTTTGGGAGGATTTAAGATTTATCCTCGATAAATCTGTGGCTGAATTTCCAAAGTCAGAGATCCTTATAATGGGGACTTTAATGCCAGAATCGGAGCAGATATAAGCTCATTCACCGATAAGTCGCAATTATTCATAGAAGAGGAGTGGTTTCCTACGTGGAATTCACATGATAAGACCATTAATAGGGCTGGCATCATACTGCTGGAGTTTACCATAAACTGCGGGCTGCACAGCTTGCATGGCACACCCAAAGACTGGTCCGGGGGATTCTATACTTTTCTAGGATCTAGAGGGGCAAGCGTTATAGACTACATCTGGTCCTCCTCGGCATTTAATGATAAGGCATATTGTTTCAATGTGTTCAACAGAACCGAAAGTGACCACCTGCCAATCGCCATCTCCTTCCTCCACACACAGCTGGGGTTTCCCAGCTCACTCCACCCCAGGATCCACTGATCTTAGCTCCTGGACGTAAGAAGTGGGATTTCTATCTGGAGCAAGACATAAAAGTCCTCCTAAATTCCCCTGAGATCCTAGCCCTGAAAGCTCAGCTGTTAACAATGAATGTGAATCATTTCTCAACTTTCCAGCAAATTCTAGCCTTCTTGCTTCCTTCACTTACGAAACCTTCCCGTGCGATTCTAACCTGGAAGAATCAAACTTGGTTCGACCAAGAATGCAAACAGTGCAGAAGTAGGCTTAGATTTCTTCAGTCTGATATGAAATCAGACAGCACCCAGAGCAAAATCAGGGAGTTAGCCCAATTCCGTTCATACTACAAGAAGCTGCTCCATCATAAGAAATTGCTCTTTGCGAAAGAACGCTGGACGGCACTGTCAGTGGCCATTAAAACCCGTGACGACAAGAAATTCTGGAATTTAATTAATGCAGGTTTAAGACCCCCCTCATTCATCGCTAATAACATCACAGCAGCCAGTTGGCACTCTCACTTTGCTCAGCTGTATTCCGCCCCAGATCCCGAAGTAAATGTTGTCTCCACTCTTCCAGCATCTGCCTTGCCCACCTGGGAGCCAGTCTCCCCAGAGAGATGTATACAACTAATCAGTACGCTTTCAGGGGATAAATCCCCGGGGGAGGATATGATACCACCTGAGGTATTCTTGTCGAACCAGACATGGTGGGCCCCTATTTTAGCATCTCTCTTTACCACTATTAATGCTACTCTTAAGATTCCACCTAATTGGAAACAGAGCATAGTCATCCCAATACATAAAAAGGGGATCCACAAGATCCGCGTAACTATCGACCTATCAGCCTGCTGGACATATCATACAAGGTCTACTCTAGATTCTTGCTAGAGAAATTAATCGAGTGGGCAGAAGAAACAAAGCTATTTCACCCGGAACAGGCTGGCTTCCGTAAAGGTCACAGCACATCTGGCCAATGTCTTGTTCTATTTACCCTGATTGATAAATATCTAAACAGGTTCAACTGCAAACTACACGCGGCTTTTGTGGACCTGACCTCCGCTTTTGACTCCATCCCCAGAGATAGGCTATGGCAGAAGCTTAGTTACACTAACATAGATAAGAGACTCCTCCACCTTCTTATGGAAATTCATAATGACATATCGGCCAGAGTAAAATTCGGCCCTCTGGGAGCTCTATCTGATCCTTTCCCTCTGAATAAAGGGGTCAAACAGGGCTGCCTCTTGGCCCCTTTTCTATTCAATTTCTACATCAATGACATCGTTACAACCATGAAGGCCCTAAATCAATCTGTCCCCTCTTTACAACAGCTCAAGATCCCCATATTACTCTATGCGGACGACATGGTGATACTGTCTTTAACCAAGCAGGGCTTAAACAACATGCTCAGAGGGCTCATGACATATTGTGATACCAACTCCCTCAAAATCAATTTCGCCAAAACCAAAATTCTTACTTTTGGCACGAAAACTCGGAAGCCTTTCTGGAATTTTGAGGGCCACTCTATTGAATATTGTTCAGCATTCAAGTATTTGGGTATCACTTTTCAGCATGGGCTTAGCTGGTCAGCTCACCTAAATATGACCATCCTGGCTGCCCGTAGAACCATCAAAGCCTTGGAGAAATTCTTCTATGCAAAAGGCGGCCAGTTGGTTCCACCAATCAGAAAAGCATTTATCAGCAAAGTCCTCCCGATGTTACTGTATGGGGTTGAAATCTGGGGTGGAATTTAAAAACACTACAATCGCTGGAGATTCTGCAAAACTCTTTTGCACGAAAGATACTGGGCCTCCCCAAGGGCTCAGTTGCTGCACAGTTAAGATCAGAACTGGGCCTCCCTCCATTGTTGCAAGAGCCCACATTAGAATCATTAGTTTTTACTGTAAATTATTCAATGCCCCAGGTTCCCTACTAGCTAGGCAAGCCTTTTTAACTTGTTCTCATACCAACAAATGGTCCAAGGCCATGGAGACTATTACTGCACGCTACTCCCTCCCAGATCTCGACACGCTGTCATCTTGGGACCAACATAAAATCCGGGCCTGGATTCTTACAAGAGACGAGGCCATGGACCGGGCACAGTCCATTACAGCTCGCCTCTCCATGTGGCTCCCTAAAGTGAAAGTGGTAAGATCACTTGCCAACTACTTGATAGACCTGACGGAGCCCAATTTGAGAAGAGCGTTTACTATGGCCCGTTTCCATTCTATACCCACGGCCTTCCTGCAGGGGATTTACTCTAAGACCCCTATTACTCAGCGTTTATGTCCATGCACAATGAATGAAGTAGAGGACTTCATACATTTCTTTTTCTACTGCCCTATTTATGAGCCAATAAGACCTAAGCTCCTCCTCTTGATCCCGTCCACCATTACATCTAAGGAAGACTGTTTGAAATCGCTTCTTGTGGACGCAAATCCCCAAATTTCACGTGGGGTGGCAATCTTTATAGTGCAGGCTCTGAAACTCAGGGCTACTCTGACTGGGTAGTGTGTCCTAGACCTGGACCTGTTTTAATTCTTTTTATTACTTTTTCAACCCAATGTGCCGAGCCTATTTTGGGGCCATTTTATGTTTTATATACATCCGCATTTTGGATTCTTGGCGCTGGCAACTAAATCTTTACATTATTGTCTTAGGGTAATTTAAATGTCATTACGCCAGTAATATTGCTTTGAATTTTGTTTGGTTGCTTGTCTCTAGTATTTTTGTCTTATTTTGCTATGGCTGTATGCTAATGCAATAAAGGTTTTGATTGATTGATTGATTCTCTGCTAGACAGGAAGGGAATTATGCCACAGCTACAATCAGAACATGATGTTCATGCTAGTAATTCTAAGGAATCACGCTAAAGCCAAGAGGTTCAAGACTGCAGTCTGACATTGCAAGGGGCTTATTTATGGGCCAGTTCCTCTTGGAGGTAGAAACATTCCTCCCAGAAGAAGTGTTTGGATTTGATATCCCGCTTTATCACTACCCGAAGGAGTCTCAAAGCGGCTAACAATCTCCTTTCCTTTCCTCCCCCACAACAAACACTCTGTGAGGTAAGTGGAGCTGAGAGACTTCAGAGAAGTGTGACTGGCCCAAGGTCACCGAGCAGCTGCATGTGGAGGAGCGGAGATGCGAACCCGATTCACCAGATTATGAGTCCACTGCTCTTATCCACTACACCACACTGGCTTCAAGCCCAAGACTTGAAGAAAATAAGCACCTTGCTAGCCAAAGGGAAGACAACCATCCAGAAGAGCAAGAAGAACATGGTTGGATTTTTTCCACAAAGCATTTTGTGGCAGATCACAATCATTTGCATTTCACAGACTGCAAACCCTTTTGCCTCAAGTATCTCTTCGCTCAGCAGGAGTTTCATCTCCATCCATTTGCACAAGCGTTGATTTCAAAAACTGCTAGGGGCGGGGGTGGAATTACCAAATTTGGATTGATTTGGAAATGCCAACCCCATTTCCAGGGAAATGACAGTTTGTTTCCTGATTCTTTCCCCACAATATGTAGTGATAGTGACCAACCCATAGCTGTCAAGCATCCCTTATTTGAAGGGACAGTCCCTTATTCCAGCGCCATGTCCCGCTGCTGTCCCTTATTGATGAATGTCCCTTAAATGTCCCTTAAATGATGTCCCTTAAATTTCAAAGGAAGCAGCTCCTCTCCCTCCCTCCCTGCCGGCCAGGGAGGAGGGAGGCTCCAACTGTGTTGCTTGGCTGCATTACTCACCCAATAAGGAGTCTAAGAACGACTGGGGGGGTGGAGCTTGCATGCCTTGTGCTGATCAAATCAGCTGCGTTGCCTGGGGACTCGCCTTTGCTCAGCGCTTCCCAGCGGAGAGGTGATGGTGGTTTTCCTTGAGGCTTCGTTTGGCTGCTGGCTGGGTTTTCTGCCTTTGGCTCAGAGGGGCTCAGAAGTTGAACATACCTGTGCTGAGTGCTTGGATCGGAATCGGATGGATACGTCATCGATGGCCCACTCACCCTTGCCGGCGAAAAGGTCTATCTGGAGCGTGGGCACATGGTGGGGGAAAAGGAAAGGAGATCTTGGGGGGGGGGGGCTTTTGAATTTGTTTTGGAGGCTCCTTCAATTGACTTATGGGGGAAAAGAAAGGAGCTGGTTGACTAAAACGGTGGGTGACTGGCGATCTCATGGCGAGGGGGGGGAGGCTGTGTGTGTGTGGCTAGTTAATGCAAGCTGAGGGGTTTTTTGAATGCTGGACGCCATGTTGTTGCACGTGCTGCTGCAAACTTTGCAGTGCAAAGCCAGGCTGGGGAGCCATCTTAAGTTGAGGCTGCATACGCCTTGTGGTGCATGTGATTCAGATTCTCTTCAGTTGAACCTCTGGTTACAAAGTTGGTTGGACAATGTTCTCGAAGCTACCAGCATGAGTTTGACCAGACTGCAGGAGGACAGGAAGACTGGAGTGCCTGGAACAGGTGAGGCTGCTGGTCCCTTATTTTCAAGGCTGCTGGTCCCTTATTTTCAAATCTGTAAGTTGACAGCTATGGACCAACCTAGGGTGGTTTTAAAAGAGGATTAGCCAATTGATGGAGGATTGGGCTACTAGCCATGATGGAGGCAGTATGTCTCCACTGTCAGAGGTAGTATGTCTCTGAATACCAGATGAGTGGAATCATAACTGGGGAGGATATTGTTGCACTCAGATCCTTTATGTCGACTTCCCATAGATATCTGGTTGGCCACTATGAGAACAGGGTGCTATATTAGATGGGCTTTTGGTCTGATCTAGAAGGGCCTTTCTTATGTTTTGAGTCAATCTCAAAAGGGAGGGACATCCCTATGTTTCCTAACATTGATTTTATATATGAGAACAAACATCACTAGTTGTACTGCATGCTGAAGAAAATGACCTTATGCTTATGATGCTGCAAACAGACCTTATAAATTTGTTTGGGAGTCATGGCCACTTTCACAAAACAAATATTTATATTTTCTCTCTATATAGATCATCCTCTCCCCTTAATGTGATCAATGGCTATCAGTGTGATGGGGATGCTTTTAACAGCAAAGTGGAAGGTGGTCAGAAACATTCCACAGAAGACAGATTTGCATTGTGCCTTTCTAAATCTAAGGGAATTTGAGACAATCTGTCACATAAATGCCCATGTCATCAGTTCAATGCATTTGGAATTCAGGTGAAGATGAAAACAAGTAGGATATAGAAGGCTTCCATACTTAATTCTATATCACTGTGGTATTCTGATGGTCCCTCAACAACAAAGTCTGAGATGGGAGCAAAACTGCTAGATGGGGACTAAAGAAAAACTAAGAATAAAGGGAAGGGAAAGGGTTGCCCAGAGTGTATACGAAAACATACATTTCATGTTTCTTTGAAAGATATATTTCAAACCAATACATGGAGATCAAAGTTTGCAACTGAGTGATAAAATGTTTTCTCCATCTTTTAAGTTAATAGCATGATAAAAGCATGAATTTGCCCTCCCTGAGTGTGTAGACTCCATTTTCTACCCCTTTCAAGTGATTCCCTCCCCTATTCTGAGCAGGGGTGTGTGTGTGTGCGCGCGCGCTTATGAAGGGGATGATTTTGACTCACACATTTCTCAATACATATTTACGTGTGCAAATTAAGATCAATGTTTGATATCTAAGCTGAGCAGCCATTGTGTGTATGTTTTCTGGGGAGTTGATGCCTGTCAAGCGAACATTCCATTTCCAGGATGCTTTATTTATTTATTTATTTATTTATTTATTTATGGGAATGGCAGAAACGGAAAGAAAGAAACTTGGTTTGATTGCTCACCATGAAAAATAAAAGCTATTTGTAAATTAGCTTTAACAAGAATAGTTAAAATCTGAATTAATTTCCTCCCCTGTATTTTTAAGCACTGCCAACAGATGGGGAAAGACAGGCGTGGATCAGGGTTGACAAAAATGAAAACAAAAGTCACACCCACACCATACATTTAAAGCACATGTTTCCCCCCAGCAAAGAATAATGCAAGTTTTAGTCTGTTAAGGGGGACTTGCAGCTATTTGAAGGGTAAATCAGCGCTTCCAGGATTCTTTGAGGGGAGCAACGTATTCTAAATGTATGCTATGGATGTGGCCATGATTACTCTCTGGGTTCGGCCCTACCAGACCTGAAAGTGGAGGTCTCCTCAGAGGAGAAGCAAGGGGAGTGGGACCCTCTTGCAGATCACCACACTGCCAGTGACTGATGAGCCAGAGGGACAAGATATCCCTTCCTCAGGATTGGCGGTCCCCACACAGCCTGTGGAGCTTGCTGGCTAACTCTCAGGAGCCGAGAAGACAGCAGGCCCATCTGGAGTTTCTAAAGCACTTGGCTAGCTGCATGTAAAGCTACTTCGGAGGAGAGGGAAGCACACGGAAATGTGTGTCCGCATGAGAGCTGGGAAGCATGTGTAACATCCAGTTCCTATTCAAATGCCCAATTTGATGGGCTTTATCATGGAAGCTGCCAGTGAACCCTACTATTGGTGGGTCATTTCCTTCACTACTTATAGAGTCAGGCATGCCTGGTGAACAAGCAGAGGTAGCAGCAGATCCCAGCATTGGCGGATGTGTGGGGTCAAGAACTGGTGTGGAGCCCTGTAGTGTACTGACCCAACAATGCTAATGGGCCAGTTTGATGGGCTTTATCTTATCTGTGATAGGAGAAAGGTAGGATATAAATATAAAAATCTTCTTCTTCTTCTTTGGTGATCACTCATGAGCCGAGTAAACCATAAACATGGTTTTAACAATGAATCCGTAAGTGACTGTAGAGGCCAATTCTGGATCCACATGTCCTTCCACAATGGGGACATTGGTCCAAAAACGGGCTGCTCAGTCATGGATACAGCTGCCAAGCTGTTCAACTGCCTCGTTCCTTGAGTCAGAACGACTGAATCTGTATCCACCGCCCATGTGCTGGTTCATGACTAAGGGCTTCCAAATTTCACAATCCTGCCCCCGTTACCATTTGCTGATTGCCATGGGACTTTTGGGGTTTGGGTTGGGTTTTTGGAAGACCCAATTTATTTTATGTGTGTAGATCAGTGCACACTGACCAATGCACAGTCTTCGCAGTAGGGCTCTGTTCCAATGGCATGAAGTAGTCACGACAATCCAATAGATTCCTATCTGCTGCAGCCTTCATCCACCATCACAGCCGTTGTAACATACCGCTTGTTATCACCCGCCTGTTCTGCTGTTGAGGACTTCTTGGATCATTCTTTGTCTAGCTCCTTTCCTTTGACCTTACCGCCTTGGGTGACCCTGCTGGGAGTATGAGATTCCCGGCGGCTTCACTCACAAGGGTCATAGGAACATGCAAGCCCACTCACCCTGACAAGGTGGGAAATATAAGAATATACACACAAACACACACACATACAAATTATCAGTCTCAGACTTTTATAGCAAAAGCATTCTTTATGTAAAAACTGTAGTCCTATTAATATTTTCATATTAATATGAAAATACTATCAATATCAGATACGTTATGAAAGGCTGTAGTGATATCTGACTTTATGGTGGATATTATTTAATGAATTGGAGTAGCAGAAGGTTGGGCTGGAATTCGCTGCTCTGTAGTCATCTGCTGTTGCATACGGACTTTCCAATAACTTTCCAGGAGCAGCATCTCCACAGCAGATGGTGTTGGTTTGGGTTCATCAGCACACTTCTGAAAATGCAATGTCATGCAACGGAACCTGCAGATTGGTTTCTTTTCATGGACATGTAGCAAAGGACAGTGCCTGCTGCCCATTATCAAATGGA